CTTAATTCTTTGAAATGCGTGTGCGCGTTAGATGTGCGTGCGGGTGTGTTGTTTGAAATGGAATACATTAATGATGATAGATGGCGTTGTGTTGTTTCGCTTCACGCTGGTTCAAGAATAAAAAGTTATTATAGCTCCGTGTCGTTCTCTCTCTTTGTCCGTGTCTTTGGCTGTTCGTGGGGTTTTAACAGTTTTAGTGCACAATCAAATGTTTGAAAAAAAACTATAACATATATCCTTACTTACCTAGAAGATGCTTATTGATGTTAACTGGAATTTGAATTGATTTCTGAGTCTATGTAGAAACACCTTATGTATGTATAATATTTATGTACACGCGTGTGTGTGTGTTTGTATGCATGTTTGTTTGTACGTATGTATGTATGTATGTATGTATGTTTGAGTTTTTGTGCAATATCTGTTCTACAATGATACATTAGTCACCATTCAGCGATGTTAATTCTATTTGGATGCAAATGTTTGGTGCTGTGAGAAAGATTTATGTGTTTTCCTGGACAAGCCAACAAATCAACATACGACGACCAATCCATTATTAAACTAACCATTCAATCAATCAGGTGAACAATCAATATATATACAACTTCTTGCGTGAAAAGTGCTTCAAAACCGAAGAAGCTAAAAAAAATTCCTTCTTACGGTTTGTCGCCTCTAGAACCCCTGATTTTTATGCTACAGGCATCAATGATTAAATTTCTCGTTGGCAAATGTGCATAGATTGTGATGGTTTTTATTTTGATTAAATATCTCAAATGAAAGCAAATTTATTGCATTTTAAAATGGGTGGTAGAAAACCTACATTATTTTTGCACCAACCTGATAATTCATTTCACATCGTGTATTAACCAGTGTTAGTATTTTTCCTGTACCGTATTTATAAATGAATGTGTGTATGTATATGTGTGTGTATGTGTGTGTAAGTGTGTCAGGCTGACCTAGATAGGTCGCATTCTATACGGCGTAAGTTTTAATTAAGTGTCCGTGTTTAGATGGTGTGGATAACAACGACGACGACGATGATGATGGCGATGAAGAAGTTGATGATGATGATGATGATTATTATTATTAGTAGTAGTAGTGGTAGTAGCAGTAGTAGTGGTAGTAGCAGTAGTAGTGGTAGTAGCAGTAGTAGTGGTAGTAGCAGTAGTAGTGGTAGTAGTTTTAGTAGTATTAAATCTTGCGACAGTAGTAAAAATAGAAATTATCTTGGAAAAATACTTCGTTCCAGCAACAAATTAATGACGGGGAACTGATATTAACTGTCTAGTATCATATAGTTTCGCTAATGTCTCGTTTCGTTTTGTTGTCTCATTTCGTTTTGTTGTCTCGTTTCGTTTTATTCTTTCGTTGTCTGATATTTAATCAGATTTAAAGTTAGTTGGCTGGCTGGTTGCTTGCTTGGATGGCATTTATTTTTAATTAAATTTTTATGGCAGTTGTTATTATTATTATTATTATTGTTGTTGTTGTTATTATTGTTGTTGTTGTTGTTGTGGTCGCCGTGAATATGCAGTAGAGAAATTTTTAATTAAAGATATTTCGCGTTTAGTGGCATTAATTCTATCGGGTTCTTTTTAAACGTGGCAGATGTTATCTGAGCTTCTATTGCAGCAGCAAAACAACATCATCATCATAATCATCATCAACATTATCAACAACAACAAACAACAACAGCAACCATCCTTACTGTAGGTTAATGGAAAGTTTTTAAAATTCCTGACAGATTTCCAAAAATTTCATATCTTAAACAGTGGCAAAGTACGGTGGGCTTGTTGTTATGTATAATTTTAACCCAATAGTAATAAGAATGATAATGATACTATGATAGCATTAATAACAGCAATGATAGTAACAACAATACTAATAATGATATCATCATTATTGTTACTCTGCTTACATGTGGATGAAATTTATTAAATTCATTAAAAGAACGCATTGAAACGAACCGTGCGAATGTTGAAGAGCATTTGCTGAGATGATGACGACGATGATGATTGTTAGTCTTGTTGGCGTTTTAGAAATGTGTCTTAAGATTAACATATTGTTGAAGTTGTTGATGTTGTTGTTGAAGTTGTTGAAGTTGTTCTCGAGCTGATGTATCACTGAAATATCCAGTATAATATAATTTTATCCATGCTTTATTTATATTAATATGAATTCATTTTTTCTAATTAATTTAAAATATTGTTTAATTTGTTGTGACGCTGCCAATATTACAACTTAATTTATTATTATCGTATTTTGATGCATATATCTGAGAAAATTTAGCATTGAACTATAAACAAAAGCTTTCATGTTTCAATTCTTTTCAACATAATGAATATTATTTCCTAACAAACCACAACATCAACATCATCATCAACTATGTGTTTAATCTCATTTGTTAAACCCAAAGCCTTTATAATCCTATCGCACTCCAAGTATACACTATATATAGTATGTATGATATATATATATATATATGTATATGTATTTATATATA